GATAGTTCCTGCCCTCAGGCAGTTTAAAATCTGGTTGGGAAGACAAGAGAAATTCAGTAGTAATGCAACCCAACAATATTCCTCAACATCCGCTATTCTAAGCTGACACAGGAATCATGCAGCTCTTTACCTGATCATGTCACACGACTTCCCAGCACCCTACCCTTATGTTTACCGGTTATCCACTCCTCAATCCCTGCCTACCCCTCACCAGCCTCATATTCATCACACTGTAGGCTTCCTCTGCTGGTGCTCTTCTTCTAGAAGCCCATGCTCCCTGGCTCTGGCCCTTCACACATGTGCTTCTCTTTAACCAGAGGGTTTGGCACCACCACACATACCTTTCGCCTCCATCCTACACTTCATCCAAGTGTGTATCAGCTTCTTCAAAGTCCCCGCCCCTGACTCTTTTCCACTCGGTGATTTAGGACCTGTCTGTCTCCCTAGACTCCAAGCTCCTGAGGCAGTGCCCGTGTGGGTCTCAGTCACCACTGCATCGTTACTGCTGGACACAGTTGCTTCCTATGTGTTCGTTTTACCAGGAAATGGAAAGTACAGACTACTCCATAGTGGCAAGAAGCAGGATAATTGTATTTGCACATACCTGAGTGTGAACCACACTGATTCTTGACAAACATGCCCCAGCCGACAGAGCCAGTAAATGCTAGGCATTAAAGTGCATCCCATAGAAGACTAGATGTTTCCTACAGTATGCTATTGAAACCCCAAACACTGTGGCAACTCCTGTTTAGGAATTGCCTTTGCTTTTCACTTCAATGACATCACACCCACCAGACTCACCAGATTTAATGACTTTGGCTAACTCCAAAAGTCAAATTCACCTGGCAGGAAAAAGTGTGTTTTTGTTTTTGTTTTTGTTTTTTCTTTTTATTGTGCTTCAAGTGAAGGTTTACAGTTCACGTCAGTTTCTCATACAAAAATTTATACACACATTGCTATGTGACCCTAAGTGCTCTCCCTATAATGTGACAGCACACTCCTCCTTTCCACCCCGGATTTCCCGTGTCCATTCAACCAGCTCCTGGCCCTTTTTACCTTCTCATCTTGCCTCCAGACAGGAGCTGCCCATTTAGCCTCATGTATCTACTTGAGCTAAGAGGCACTTTCTTCACGAGTCTCATTTTATGTCCCATAGTCCAGTCTAAGCTTTGTCTGGAGAGTTGCCTTCGGGAATGGTTTCAGTTCTGGGCTAACGAAGAGTAGGGGGCCACGTCTTCTGGGGTCCCTCCAGTCTCAGTCAGACCATGAAGTCTGGTCTTTATTTACTAGAGTTTGAGTTCTGCACCCTACTTTTCTTATGCTCTGTCAGGGACCCTCTGTTGTGTTCCCTGTCAGGGCAGTCATTGGTGGTAGCTGGGCGCCAACTAGTTCTTCTGGTCTCAGGCTGATGGTGTCTCTGGTTTATGTGGCCCTTTCTGTCTCCTGGGCTAATATCTTCCTTGTGTCCTTGGTCTTCTTCATTCTCCTTTACTCCAGGTGGGTTGGGACCAACTGATGTATTTCAGATGGCCACTAGCTAGCTTTTAAGACCCCAGATACCACTCACCAAAGTGGGATGCAGAACATTTTCTTTATAAACTTTGTTATGCCAATTGACTAGATGTCCCCTGAAACCATGGTCCCCAGACCACCACCACCCACCCCTGCTACTCTGTCCCTCAAGGTGTTTGGCTGTATTCAGGAAACTTCTTAGCTTTTGGTTTAGTCCGGCTGTGCTGACTTCCCCTGTATTGTGTGTTGTCCTTCCCTTCACCTAAGATAATTCTTATCTACTATATAGGCAGTAAATACCCCTCTCCCTCTTTCCCTCCCCACCCTTGTAACCATCAAAGAATATTTTCTTCTGTGTTTAAACCATTTCTTGAGTTCTTATAATAGTGGTCTCATACAAATATTTGTCCTTTTGCAACTGACTGATTTCACTCAGCGTAATGCCCTCCAGGTTCATCCATGTTATGAGAGGTTTCACAGATTCATTGTTGTTCTTTATCGTTGCGTAGTATTCCATTGTGTGAATATACCATAATTTGTTTATCCACTCATCTGTTGATGGGCACCCAGGTTGTTTCCATCTTTTTGCTATTGTGAACAGTGCTGCAGTGAACATGGGTGTGTATATCTCTATTCATGTGACAGCTCTTATTTCTCTAGGATATATTCCAAGGAGCAGGATTGCTGGATTGTATGGTACTTCTATTTCTACCTTTTTAAGGAAGCACCAAATCAATTTCCAAAGGGATTGTACCATTTTACATTCCCACCAGCAGCGTATAAGTGCTGTCTCTCCACAACCTCTCCAACATTTATTATTTTGTATTTTTTGGATTAATGCTAGTCTTCTTGGAGTGAGATGGTATCTAACTGTAGTTTTGCATTTCTCTAATGGCTAATGATCCTGAGCACTTCCTCATGTATCTGGTAGCTGCCTGACTGTCTTCTTTGGTGAAGTGCCTTTCATATCCTTTGCCCATTTTTTAATTGGGTTATTTGTCCTTCTGTTGTTGAGGTTTTGCAGTATCTTGTAGATTTTAGAGATTAGACAGTGATTGGATTTGTCGTAGCCAAAAATTTTTTCCCAGTCTGTTGGTTGTCTTTTGACTCTTTTGGTGAAGTATTTTGATGCGCATAAGTGTTTGATTTTTAGGAGCTCCCAGTTATCTAGTCTCTCTTCTGGTGATTGTGCATTGTTACTTATGGCTTGTATTCTGTTTATGCCATGTATTAGGGCTCCTAGAACATTGTCCCTATTTTTTTTCCCATGATCTTTATCATTTTAGATTTTATATTTAGGACTTTGATACATTTTGAGTTAGTTTTTATGCCTGGTGTGAGATAGGGGACTTGTTTCATTTTTTTGCAGATGGATATCCAGTTATGCCAGCACCATTTGTTAAAGAGACTGTCTTTTCCCCCCAATTAACAGACTTTAGGCCTTTGTGCAATATCAGCTGCTCATAGTTGGACGAATTTATGTCTAGATTCTCAATTCCGCTCCATTGGTCTATGTATCTGTTGTCGTACCAGTACCAGGCTGTTTTGACTACCATAGCGGTATAATAGGCTCTAAAATCAGGTAGTGTGAGGCCTCCCACTATGTTCTTCTTCTTCAGTAATGCTTTACTCAGCTGCAGTCTCTTCCTTTTCCACATGAAGTTGGTGATTTGTTTCTCTATCTCATTAAAAAATGCCATTGGAATTTGGATCGGGATTGCATTGCATCTGTAGATCGCTTTGGGCAGAATTGACATTTTCACAATGTTGAGTCCTCCTATCCATGAGCAAGGTATGTTTTTCCACTTATGCAGGTCTCTTTTGGTTTCTTGCAGTAGTGTCTTGTAGTTTTCTTTATAGGTCTTTTACATACCTAGTTAGATTTATTCCTCAGTATTTTATCTTCTTGGGGGCTATTGTAAATGGTGTTGATTTGGTGATTTCCTCTTCGAAGTTCTCTTTGTTAGTGTAAAGGAATCCAACTGATTTTTGTGTATTTATCTCGTATCCTGATACTTAACTGAAATCTTCTATTAGTTGCAGTAGTTTTCTTGTGGATTCTTTGGGGTTTTCAGTATATAAGATCATATCATCTGCAAATAGAGATACTTTTACTTCTTCCTTACCAATCTGGATGCCGTTTATTTCTTTTTCTAGCCTAACTGCTCTGGCTAGGACCTCCAGCACAATGTTGAATAAAAGTGGTGATAAAGGGCATTCTTGTCTGGTTCCCATTCTCAAGGGGAATGCTTTCAGACTCTCTCCATTTTGGATGATGTTGGCTGTTGACTTTGTATAAAAACCCTTTATTATGTTAAGGAATTTCCCTTCTATTCCTATTTTGCTGAGAGTTTTTATGATGAATGGTGTTGGACTTTGTCAAATACCTTTTCTGCATCAATTGATAAATAAAACAAAAGACAAGAACCACATGATCTTATGTGATGGATTACAAAGATTGTTTTTCTAATGTTGAACCATCCCTCCATACCTGGTATGAATCCCACTTGATCATGGTAGATTATTTTTTTGATATGTTGTTGAATTCTATTGGC